CCTGACTTCTTATGTCGCCTGGTGAAGTACCTTCAGGTTCTTGGAATGTTTGCCTCCTCCTACATGATCGTGGCCATGACAGTGGATCGCCACTATGCTATCTGCTGCCCCCTGCAGGCACATCGCAGCGGGGCCACGAAGCGCTGGAACAGCTTCATCGTGCTGGCCTGGGTACTGTCGCTGCTGCTCAGCCTGCCACAGGTAGGCCAAAGCAAAGAGGCTGGCCACAGATCTGCTCCTGAGAGTCATAACTTAGGTTCTGATTACCGTTAGGCTCTTAAAATTAACATTAAAAAGAGAAGAAAACAAGGTGATAGTCAAAGAAAGGACATAGGCATCATTAAAACACAAAGTCGTAAATAAGCACCGTGCCAATTAAAATCTTATAGAAGAGAGCTGTTACCGTCACCTCCACTCATCTCTTTGCTGGTTTGCAGGTCTTTATCTTTTCCCGTTCTGAGTTAGCTCCAGGTGTGTATGAATGTTGGGGCAACTTTGCCGAGTCCTGGGGCCTCAAAGCCTACGTGACGTGGATGACGCTGGCCATCTTCGTCCTCCCCGTTCTGATCATCACCATCTGCCAGGTAGAACAGAGAGAACCAGAAGACAAGATGCTTCTGGAAACAAAAATTTACCCTCTCTCGTCTTTCTTCCTTCAGGTGCGAATCTTCAAGGAGATTCACAACAATCTGTACCTGAAATCAGACTGCCGCCTGTGCCCCGCTGCTCTCCCTCAATTAAGAAAAGAAACCCAGAGAGGAAAAAGAGGAGGAGGAGAAGGAAAGTCTAATGTCCCCTTCTATGTTTCCCCCCTCGCGTACAACAACCCTGGAAATGACAGCAGTTTGGACCCTGCGTCCACCTATCAGCACCTCCCGATGGGTGATCATTTTTGGACTCTACAGTAGCTTTGCATGATTCAATAATGATAATAATGCTTATTTATCCTACACTGAGCCTTGAGATGGACATATCTATAACCTTAAACCTGCAATAGTTTATAATGACCAGCAGGGGTCGACTGCTGTAGTCGGTAAAGGACGACAGTCTGTAAAGAAGCTTATGGAGAAACAACCCTCATGCTAACTCATGTTTCCTGATTAGTTTAGGCTCTCGGTCACAGCTCTGCAGTCCTGTTGAAATCAACATGATGTTCATTTGGTAAATTATGGTCCTCACTGGTCTGCAGACAGTTAATTATGTATATGAATTATGGACTTATTGCAGTCTAACTCCTCAAGCAATGTGGTGGTAGAAGGTGACTAAGATCTGGAGTACGCTCCTCATCTCATGCCTGAAATTAGCTAATATGTGCTTTTACTACAATCAAAAAGTTATATATAAAAAATTAATGAATAAAAATTGAACCATATTTATGGTCTTAACTCATGAAATGAGGAAATTCAGGAAATTGAGGGAGAGTGAGCGTCACAGGAATGTTTTTGTCCTCCCCGTCAGCTCAGCTGCAAGCCGGCGTCCCACCAGATCCAACAACGCCCTCTGCTGCCTGCTCACCACACCCAACCAAACTGCCTCCTGTCAGAGGTGGAGAGGTAACAGCAGCCATGTCAAAGACGGTGAGGATGACGCTGGTCATTGTGCTTGTGTACTCGCTCTGCTGGGCCCCGTTCTTCAGCGTCCAGCTCTGGGCCGCCTGGGACCCTGACCCACCTCAGAACGGTACACACACACACACACACACACACACACACGCACGCACAGTCCTGCCAGACCAACTTGATGTAATTTTAAGGATTTTTTTGTTCTCTACATCAGCGGTCTCCAACCTTTTTTGCGCCACGGACCGGTTTATGCCCGACAATATTTTTCACAGACCGGCCTTTACGGTGTTGCGGATAAATACAACAAAATAAAACTAGTACCGGTACCGAAAAAAAGAAGATTTATTCATAACACACGTGAAAAGA